AAAACTTTTCTTAAACTTATTTTGAATAACTAATCTACCTCTAATATCATCAATGCTAACAACGCTGTACAAAATCGAAGCTATATTTTTAGAAGATATATTTTTGTGACTATATGGTTCACCTGATATGCCTCACAACTGTAAACTTATATCGAAAAGAGTTATATCGTTTCATATTTAAAAAAATTTATTCAAAGAAAGAAATTTTAACAATTAATGATTTCGCTTCTGTGGTGGTGGTGGTACTGCATCTGCTAAATCGAAATCTTTTACAGAACCTTTAAAGTTCGGATCAAAGTTACTGCCTGGATTAACGGTTGTTGGTAAACCTGTAGGAAGATTAGGACGTAAAGCGTCCTGTAAATCAAGTGCCTTTGGTATCGGTAAAGCAATGCCGCCAACAACAATTAGAAGTAGAACAATAAAATGCCTCATACTTTTACAAGCGTATTATAAGCACCTTTTAGAAACTTTAAGGAAAACTGAAGAATTATTCCCATTCTTAGAAGCACATATAACGCGAGAAATTAATAAAAGAATAAAAAGTGTGTGTGTTCTTCAACGGAGACATTTTCACATATGGTTTTTAGGCATAACGTTAATGCCATGGCTTATGCATGAATAATATTAAAACAATATTTATTTTATTCATTTCTTCTGCTAACAATAGCAAACCTTTTAATGATATATATGTAACACGTGATCAAGAATGTTCGTTAGTCGAAAACTCAAGTAATATTAATAATAAAATTGCTTTGTTTCTTGCACTAAATGCTCAACGCCTTCATTCTAAGTAAACATCTCGAAGTGGTCAGTGTGTCAATGCGAATGTCAAGCGTCAAAAACTGATAACTCCTTTAAACTTAAACTCCTTGGGACCTATTTTATTTACTCTTTACATCAATGATTTGCCCTCCGTGATTAAATTCAGTAAGATTTTAATGTATGCTGATGATGTGAAACTGTTTACTTCTTTGTCCGTAGAATCGCAATCACATCATCTTCAAAGTGATTTGAACAATTTGGTTGCATGGTGCTCCCTCAATCTTCTGAAGCTAAATCTAAATAAATGTAAGAAGCTTTCTTTCTTAAGAAGGAAGTCGTTTAGTACCCAATACTTCATTGATTCGCACAGGCTGGAAGACGTCGATTCGTTCATTGATTTAGGCGTTCTATTCGATTATAGGTTACGTTTCAATTTGCATATTGAGTCCTCGTTAAGCAAAGCTAGGTCCGCTCTTGGTTTTATAAAGAGGTGGTCCAAAGAGCTTGATGATCCTTATATTACTAAAAGGCTTTACACGTGTTTGGTTAGACCTATTCTTGAGTATGCCTCTGTTGTGTGGTCTCCTTCATATAGATGCTACGTTGGTTCAATTGAATCTATACAAAAGCAATTCTTGCTGTTTGCACTTAGGAATTTGGGTTGCGACCCGATTTCCCCTCTTCCACCCTATGAAGGTAGGTTGCTTCTGTTATCCTTACCGTCACTCGAGAAACGTAGATTTGTTCTTGGGGTTTCCTTCCTAATCAAATTAATAAATGGTGCAATTGATTCGCCCGCATTACTTCGTGAGATTTGCTTTAATGTCCCTAACCGCTTCTCTAGGTACTTTATGTTGATAAAGCTTAGTCAATGCAAATATAACTTTGAACTGTTTAACCCGCTCAGAGTTGTTTGCAAGAACCTAAATGATGTCTATCATCTATTCTCATTAACGGACTCTTTAAAGTCTATTAAAGCAATATTGCTCAACAAGCGCGATTTACCTATGTCGTACTTAAACTGATTTAACCTTAGATTTTGTTTTTATGAGTCGAAAATTAATTTGTTGTTAACAATTATCGGTTGCCAAGCTTATGCATGTTTGCGATGGCTTAGGGGTTCACTTGCAATTTGGTCCTGTATCGGTTGTGGGCGTGGCTCTATGCTAATTGTGTACATGCTTTTTTTTTTCCTCCTTATTTGTTTTATTGTACTTATACTAAGTTTTATTATTAAATAATTTTAAGATTTACTTAAGAGTCAATTGAACTCGACTGCCATTTTGTTTTAGTTGAGTTTCTTGTATAAGTGGAATAAATAAATAAATAAATAAAACATCGACTAGAAAATAATGAGTTTATTATCTCCTTTCAAAATACTTGCGTAGTGTTCACACACTTAAGTTAGCCTTAAATACTAAGAGCAAATGGTTCAAACTTCTCGAAAAGCGTATAGATTATGAGTGCAATTAAAATGAAAGTGTGTGGAATTATAAAACTTGAAGAGGTTTTGTTCTTTTGCGAATTTCAATTATTTCAATCAAATCTTGTCTTACCTAAACGAGTAGCTTTCTCTTAGCTGACATTTCCACTAAAGGTCATAGTGGCTGGCGTACTGATACCATTTTTAAAATTTTGAGAAAACAAAAGCCAGCTGCTGTTGAACACGTCTCAAGTGTTATAAAAATCGGAAAAATAAATTCACTCTGTCTAAAACAGTCTATATTTGCTTTTGTCCGGAAGTATGATAAACATTTGCATTTTTAATTTGGAATGATTATCATGAATGATAAATAAAAAATCTAAATAGTTTTGCTTTCATAAGAACGCGTCTCAAGTCAGAATTTTTTATAGGCCACGGCTGTCAGTTTAGTGGATCGACTTCGTTGAACCCCCTTTATCTCTTGGCAATAATAAAGTTTTCTCCGATAATGTTCCTGCTAAAGAATTCAGTAAGGCTTTTGATTATAAAAACTTGGATTTCGACTATATTTAAGCAAACAATAAGGAATCTTTATGTGTTGTTTTAAAACATTGTATAAAACAAGAGGTAATTAAGAACTGAAAATATTTAAGAATATGGATTTAAGAACCATTTCCCAACATTTCCAGTGCAGTGAAAGCGAGTAATAGACTTGTTTTTTCCTTAAATAAAGGTGTCTAATTAAAGAATGACGTGAAATCTACCGTAGTAGGCATGAAATATTGCACAGCAGAGATTATAGAGAATTTTGATTAGATACTGTTAGAATCTACTACCAAGAATACTATTTCTGCTATCTATTGCTTTGCCATTCATACAAGAAGCCTAATATACCAAATCTACTGTACCATGAATGATTTTGAGTTCGGCCTAGTATTGTAGCGGATCTCTACTATCTTAATCTAGGATAAGAACGATCATTTTCTTTCCAGCTTTGCCTTTCTTCTCTCCCAGTTTGTATATTTATTTTTGCATAATTTAACAATTCATCCTCTAGCTAAGCTTGTTTTTAAAGAAATAAGTAAATAAATGTATATATGTAACAAGACAACATGTTCCACATTGGCAGATAAAAAGTGCAGCAACCTTTGCAAAACCTACTAGGGAATACAATCTTAATATAAAATAAATTGCCATTTAAGTGCGAAAAATTCCAAGTGAAATATGAGCGTAAGCCAATTACAAAAATTCCCTAAATTATTGAAAACTTTTAATTCCTTAATAACTCAAATTTCATAATAAGCATTACAAAATTAGAAAATTACTTAACTTACTTTTGTTATTATCACGTTTATTTACTTCGACTTTGCCAATGATAATGTAATGAAAGCGATTATTACAAACGGTTAAATATGCTATTGAAAAAGCAAATATTCGGACTATTTTAGCTTCGGCAAATATGAGGAACAAATAGAAGAGACCGAAAAAATGAATAAAGGCATCGAAAGGTAGGCAACATAGTGCAACCTAGAATGTGTTTCCTAAATATAGGCAATAATTTGAAGACCACGATAATGCAACCTTTGCTGGACATATTATTGGAATGGAATTGGAATGTGGTAGATGTATTCCGAATTCTTCACTCAGAAAAAGACAGGTAGGAACATTGTAGTCGAATATGGCTGACCGTTAGATACCTACTATCCACTATCTAATAATACACCAATAATTTACACGTTACTTTCATTCAGAGCCATATTTTTCATGAAAGCCCGAATATTGGAGGATGTCCAAGACATCATATGACGTAATCCAAATTTATAAAAGTTAATTTACTTCTCAAAATTGTTATTGTTTTTAGGTTTCCGCCAAAGAACTAGAGATTATACATTCTCTCCATAAAAGGGCTTTTTATAGAACTCTTAAGTTCCTACTACTTCAGAATTTGGTTCTTTTTCTCTAACTTTTTTACCAACATTTCGATAGCCTCATTTATTTTAATCATGCCAATGCATACATAAATATATACATATATATATAAAAGTGGCTAACGATGATTCATATCCAGAGGTAAATTGACGAGAAAATAATTGTATTTTTCCTAAATAAATTCGATTGAAAAACACGTCATGCAACCACTTTTGTTTTTAAGACCCTCTTACAGATAAGAATATGCTTTCAACGTTTACTAATTTTTTACGATGATCATTATTACGAAGTGGTTTGAACAAAAATCAGTAATGAACATCAACATCATTCAAAAACACTCCGTTGAACTCGAAGTTTTTTCATTATAACATTCTCTTCTAACTTTTCTGAAAATTTTTTTAGGCAAACTGAGCCTTTTTTTACGTCGCGTCTGCTGAGATAGGTACGACATTGAAAAATTTGCACAAGCATACTTTCATGTCTGCTTTCTCACTATGGTCTTCATCGACCATAAACTTTTTACAATTGTTTCACTATCTTTTTGGCATACTTCAAGGTGTCCTGAAAAGGCTCCACCATCACCACAGAGCAAAAAATATACGGTTTTTTTTTAGTTTTGCCTCAACATTTTTCTTTTTTATGCATTTATTTTCTTCGAACTTTATAAATTCAAAACGAACTGATCTTAATCAATTCTTCTTCTTATACTAAATTAAAGCCTTATGCCAGGAATCTCATGCACAGGTGGGCCGGTAAATTCTTCGCTGCTGTCATTGTAATTGTCATAATCGGTGGATACAGCTGGCTTGCCAGGTGCGGCAACTGTCAGATAAACAATGCTGAGCAAGAAAAATAGTACAGTGAAGAACTTCATGTCGATTAATAGAAACTTTATGAATTGAACGTATGAATCCCGAGGTATATATAGGAGGGAAATTGCGTTCTTTTTTTTTTAGTGTAAACAAATTTGAAAGCACTACTTGCAATAAATATTTGTTGAGAGCACCTTTCAAAAATTGACAGTTTATCACGAGTTCATTTCCGATGAATTTCACAAATTATTGTTAGCATAGCAGCACTTGTTTAAATATTATTTTAATATTACTATTATTATTATTTACCATCCCCGCTTTCATTATTTGTGACTAATACTAAGCTTTTTAGAGTGCAGGTAAGCAACGAAAATTTGGTAGGTTGTAATCCATGATTAAAATTTGTTCTCGTTTTTCAGGAGACTTACCCTGTTTTCCTTTAAAAGCTTATCGATTTTCGAGCTTCCAATGCTAGAATGGATGGAAAAGGATACACTTGCAACGATTTGAAAGCTTTGTGCTTACAGTAAGTTTGGCATAAAATTTTACATATGCTTACCTATAAATGTTAAGTATAATGTTTAGTTTAAACTTTTACAAGATAATTACAAGTTATTAGACTTACGTCTAAGGACCTCATCGTAATCTCATTCGGCAAAGTTACCTAGTTTGGTTTTTCGTTTTAATAGTGTTACTTTGATGTAAACAACTTTTTAAATTTCGTTACAATTGCATTTCTTCAGAAAATGACGAAAATGAAGGAAACTCTTTTTCACCGAGTTGGTTAACTATTATTATTAATTGCATGGGCAAACGCTACCGCGATCCCGGCACCTTCTTCGGATCGGAGCACCATACTCTGCCCGGCGTTGTAAAATGCTCGCCAAACGCATGGTGTCTGATTATGCAGATGGCCTCACATTCACTTAGAATATGATGGGACGTATCATTCGTCCCTTGGAAGAACCTGCACAAATCCCTATCGGATACACCCATGTTTTTCAGACGTACCTAAGGGAATTACGACCCGTGTAGAAACCCGCGACTCAACTTAGCTCGCTTCTGGTTATTTCCAACAGTTTATATATCATAAGGGAAGATTTTATGAATTTTTTGCCTGACGTTGTTCTGGTGTGCGGCAGAAAGATCCCTTACGCTCCCCTGTTGGCTAGACAGCCGGCCCTATTCTTGCCGTCAACACCCGAATGGTCATATTAGGGGCACTTCATTGCGCCTACGTCTCCTTTCCAACACCAGCTTAGATGTTATCATTCGCCCCTTTATGGACTTTATAGCGACTTGACTTTCTTCTGCACTCTCCACCTAAATGTTCAGAGGGACATGCGACGATTGTGTAGACTTCTACCTAGTTGGTTTAACTGAAGTCTAAATTAATTTAGCCCTTGCACTTTAGAAATTTTACCGAGATAATTGCATGCGAATTTGAAAACATTTAGTCAATATTATGGCGATTATTTGTCAAAATATAGGTGATATATAAATTTATGCTCCGTAAGTGTAGTTGTTTCTTTGGAAAAAAAAGCACTATTGCGCCTAGTGGCCAATGTAGTAGAATCATTGTAAAAATGCATAGAGAAATTAAATTTCAGGCTGCTATCACCTTCTAGACGTAATGTATGTAAAAATCTCAACGAGTTTGTCCAATTGTTAAAAAGTCTCGTAGTATTGTTTGAGATGTCTTCGCCAGGATTATCCATCAAATTTTAGATTGTTCTTGACTACGGTCCATAAATTATCGACAAGATTAGATTAAAGTTTTCTAAGGGTTTTCTTTTAAATAATTCACATTAAGCAATCGTACTAAAACTTGATAGAAATCTTGAAGAGGGTTGCTTTAAATATTATAAATCTGCAAATATAAAATCCATATTTTTTTTACCAAACACAATGAATGATGACGCTGATTAACTATACATGAAATTTCGTTCGAATGTACAAGGAGGTCCTTGCTGAAGTTTAATTTAATAGGATAAAGTTTATTAAGAACGATTAAGATAATAAAGAGAAAGATATAGCGTTGAGAATAAAGCCATTTATATATATAAATGCAAGGAGTCATATCTGCTTGACCTCGATATACCGTCGCAGACATTGAAATTTTATGGGAAAGTAGCTAAGGTTTGCCTAAAATGGTGGAGATTGTCCCAGTTCCCAGAGGGCGTTGGGTAACGCTTTGCATTCAATCTGTGCAGGCGCCGACAATAAACTCCAGACGTGCTTACCACATCTACTAAGACCACAATTTAAAGCTTTAAATGCCTTGGAAGCTCTTAAATTAAGTTTTCTCTTTCTCAGGTATATTTGAATTTCATCATCATGCAATTAGATATGTGAGAATTCATCAGTTGATGAACAAAGAAAATAAAATTAAATAAGTCTGTTTAGAGATAAATAACTTACTGATAAAAAAACTAATATTTTATTTGCGATCAAAAATGAGTTAATTGAATAAATTCTAAACGTGTAGAGAACTTAAAAGACAACAAATAAACATAAGTAATGCAAGCACATATGCATAAATGTATATAAAATTGGAGATCCTTATCTATTTAAATTCACTCTCAAAATTTCTAAAGTCTCACTATTTGTAACACTCGCTGATAACAAATTTGTAATTATTTTGATGTGAATGCATTAGATAAAAAACTATTCGATACAAAACACCAGCTGACGTGAACGAGCGATAAACAGTTTCATTGAGTATGTTTGCGGGTGCAATATGTTGTTCGTTTTTCATAAGATTACATTTTAAAATAATATAGTATATCTAGTCATTTTCTTTCTACGTTTGTCTAACCTTATTGAAAATAATTCTATTCATTTTTGTGTTTTAATAAAGAAACATTTGTATGTGTAAAATATATGTTAGCGCTGTCTGCCTGCCTCTACAATTTAGCGATTCTATGAGCTTTTCATTTGCAACAAAAGTGATATGTGAGAAGAACTTTATTTCAACATTAAGAGCTATTCAGCAGTAACTTCATGGATAGGTGAATCATCCTGAAATCCGGCAGCAAGTCCATTGAATGCGATTTTCAAGGAATGGTTTCGGAGATCATATATATATATATTAAATATATATTGGCAATTTCCGACAACAAACATTTTAGAATTGTTCTGAATAAGGACTTATGTAGACGATCGAGGAAGGCGAAAACGATTAAATCAAAATATCAGCCGCGAAAAAAATTAAGCAAGGTGCAATACCCGTAAGTGAACAAAGAATCTCAAAAATTCTGTTTATTCAATAACACATAAAGTATTAAGGTCAGATTTTACAAGTTAAATATCATCGGGCTTTACTCGGAGAAAAGATGTTACGCAGACGGATAGTTGCGCGCAGACCGCCCGAAGACCGAGAAAATTCATCGTTAAATTGCTTGGAGAGAGGAATATGGTTAACATAAAGTTTATTTGCGGATATAATCGTATTACTAGGAAGTCAGAATTACTAGTCGGCTATATAGCTAATAGGCGAACGGTACTGTTAACACATTCCCTCGGTAATTAATAAAGACTGTTTAGTCAATGACCGACCTGAGAATAGATACGATGCTCTGCCAATAACCTTGTTAAGTCTCAGGCTTGCTTTTAGGGAGGATTTAGACTGCCACGGCCGGGCAAATGGACAAGAAGTGCGACTATCTGATGATATTATCATTCGAAGTACGAGCGAATAGTTCACCACTTGTTAGATAAATTGAGAAAGCATTTCGAAAATGGTTTGGTCAAATTTGTCTCATCATAGGCACACCAACGGAGGGATATATGTATCCAAGGAGCTCACTAGGTGCAAGTACCTGTTTATGCGAGTGGAAACGATAGGACCATATAAAGTAGTTGAAAAGGATAAGAAATTTTCCGAAGTTGATATTAATGATGGGAGCGAGAACGCTATCTATTGATAACCTTGAACCGGTATTCATAGAGACTGCAAGCAAATGGCCTCATAATGCCAAGGGTAACCGTCAGAGTGAACAAACAGTAAGAATTAATTTATTAAATACTGGAATTCAGGGGATTCAATGCTGTAGCTACATTATGTTGTTTCTAGTCTATAAGATTTTATTTCAATACAACATAGTACACCTAATCTTTCTCTTTTTTTTGTTCCATTGAAACTTACTGATAAATTCTGTTCATATTTACGTTTTAATGAATAAGTACTCTCTCTGGCAGGAACATTTTTCTTTAACGTAATGTAGATCTTTATGTGTAAAATGAATTGCTAGCTATCGACCAATAATGCTTTTAAATAATTTCGACTCTATGTTCTGTAATTCTTAATATGATCTTCGAGCTGATTGCAAAACTAAGAAAACCCGTTGACGACTTTACTTAACGCCGAAAGTTCGTTAGTGCTTAGGTTCCTTTTGCTGGTATGAAAGTAGACCATTATCAAACCCTCTCTTTTGTCAAAAAAAAAACCTATCGATCGAAATATCGCACTCATGCTTCTATCGAACAAAGTTACTTTTAATGAACCTTAGATTATCACAAAATAGGATTAAGTAAGGACTCTATTCACCATGTTGGGTCATATTTAAGAGTTCTGATGAAGCGTATCATCTTGTTTCAATATCGGACAGTGTTGAAGGTGCAAAGGGAAGACTTTTGATATATTAACCTCATGCGGGGCTTTGCACAATTGCTTAGGAATATGGATGAATTGTGTATGTGTGTATGGAATACTTTTCAAGTTTGAGAGATGGTGTTCGTCTTTCCAAATAGTTAGTTAAGCTAGATCTTGTATAAATTTGAGGCCGATGCAGGTATCCTAGTAAATGCGTTTCTATTCTCTATTCCTATTGGGTATTAGTGGTTTCTCTTTCAGTTGCGGCTTAATATATTTATTTTCATCTTTTACATCGAATATATCTAATGTTTTTTTTTTGGAAATTTTTTCTTTTAAAAATCCAATTCCGCTTATTTATCCATTTGAAAGAATATGTGTATTTATGCTTACTAATGCAAATATATTAGTATTTTATTTATAATGTATTTTGCGAGTTTATGAAGCAATATTATGGCTGTAGTTTAGTTAATCAAAAAAATAAATATTGATCTAAAATTTGATAAAATTGTTTCATTTTAAATTAAATAAAACATTAATTTTTTCAAAATTGCCTTTAGCACGTAGCTCACCTTTGTCGCTTTGTCTACAACATGAAGTTTGCATACACGATTGCTATAATGCAAAATTTTTATTAAACCTAATTATTTATGCATAACAACTTTTACTAATAATAATGTGTATGGCTTAACAATCAAAAGAAAACAGTTTATAGACATTAAAAACCTTGACCAGATTTCTGTAATGTTTAAAATTACGTCCTCAACTACTTTTTTTGGGCCCTATATTGTTGCTGTTACATTGTGTATTTCTTAAGAGTAGTATACCGAAAGGCGAGTGAAAATAGTGGAGGAGAGAGGAACCAAAACGCGAATTGCCGTGACTCGAATTTAGTTTTCGGTGACTGCGCAAAACATTGTTGCATTCTTCGAGAGCAGTGCGTGCGGCATAAGGTTTGAAGAAGACTGCGTCTAGATGAACGGAGACATATATGACATATATATATTGGTGTGGCGAATAGCTGAAAAATTGAGAATGTTTTAACCTTCAGTACAAGATCAAAATAAACAAATAATAAAATTATATTCGGTCATGACCGAATCTTTTATTCTGATCACCGTCATCCTTAAAAGAACAACTAAAAAAAAAAATAACTAAATTTTCATACTCATACGTAGTGAGCGCGGCGGATTTTTTCTATTGTCGAAGCAAAATTTTTTCATGTAGGCGTGTGGGCGGTGCACTCGTGTAATTGAAAAGTGTAGACCACTTCGCTAATAGGGAGAATGTTTACCTCAGATAGTACAACAGATGGACAAATGGGCAGACGGGACTC